GGCCTGGCTTCCTCCTCCTCCTCCTCCTCCTCCTCCTCCTCCACCACCACCACCACCACCACCACCTCTTCCTCTTCCATCCTTCCATCATTGTGCCCACAACGATTCTGGTTCTTGAGACCTAGCTTCCCTACCACCATCATTCTTAATGGCTTTTGCCATGTAGACTCCCTGTTGCATCAGTGTTCACCCTAACCTATCCAGCAAATTTGAACTTCTCCTAAACAGAATTTGCAGCGCTGCAGGGATGCCAACCCCCTATTTAGGAAATGCATTGCCTAGCAGCTCACCCTTTTGCATGATTTCATAATGCCTCCCAAAGCTCTTTAGGTCTTTGCCATCATGCTTGCTATCCTTTTGAGTGATCCTTTATTGGGGCAACCCCGTTTTGATCTGGACTGTGCTTCAGTTTAGCAATGCATGAATATTGAATTTGTTTTCCTCGGCAGCATTACATGCAAAAACCCTGTTTTTTTTTTCTTTTGTGGGGCAAGATTATTCTTTGCCTAGTTCTATTTATTCACATCTTCACACCACTCCATTTCTTGGACCCCTGTGTTCCACAATTCAGCTCAGCTTTCATACCTAACTATCAGATCTTCAGTCATATCTGTAACCTCCCGTCAAGGGTCAGCCTCAAATTTCTGCTTCACTTGCAACATTCTGCGACAACCTGGCAACCCTCCCTTTATAAATAATCAGTTCCCTTAAAATCACTGCCAGTCTTTATAATGCTTCAAAGATATAGTATAAGGCAAAGTGAAGATGACTCCAGATCTCTAACAGATTTTATAGCTTCCCCTCCATTTTCCAAAGAGCACCCCGAATTACAACCTCTTTGCTACTGACCATGCTCCTCATCAGATTTCTGCATTCTGCTTACTACAACCCAGAGAACAACCCCCCTTTTTTACACATTTTTACACTTTGGATATCACAGACTATCAATTCAAATACTGATACCCTTCTTTTATCCTCTTGTAACCATCATTTTCCCAAAGCTGTTTAAAAATGTGTGTGTCCCCATGCAATGAAGAAAAATCCATCTTTTCTTTTTTTTCCCCCATGTAAAGGTGTATCTGAAAATATGCTTCCCGTGCCTACAACACCATCTTTACAACGTGCCCACCTGCCATTTGCGCTGGGGGAGGGGGGGCTGCTGGTGATGAAGATGAATTTTCATCCCCCCTTTTCTTTAGTACAAAACATGGTTAAACTGAAATAAGCCCATTCCATTTTGGTAACCTGCTGCCCCTCTCCCCAGCCCTTGTCCTCTTACCTTGTAGAAGAGACAGAGAGCAAAGCAGCAGAAGAAAAGGCATGTTGGGTCCTGCTTTTTCCAAACAGCGCATTTTGGATTTCTTCAGACCTGCAGAATACCTAGTCTGGCTATTTCCTTCTCCTGCCAGGCAAGGGAGCCGTGGAGCCAGGAGCCTGCTTAGCAAATGAAAATGCAGTAGCTTCTCTTGCAAGGACTAGTTCTGTATGATTTTTCTCTTTTGCCTTTCAAAAGCAACCTAGGCTTTCTCTATTTGTGTTTTGGAAATGTGCCTTTTCTGCAGTCTGCTTCTGCTTGCTGCATAACTGATTAACCGTGTTATCTGGAAATCCTCTCACTCTTCGCTTATTGAAAGAGAAATGCAGTGGACTCCTTCCTTTCGATGAAATTATTTTTGAGATGAGGCATGATGTCAGGCCTCTTTAGCCAAGAACCGCTCTTTTTCTCTCATGTCTTACAGTCACCTTTTGCCAAAACAACAGAGTGCCTACTGAAACTCAGTTTGACGAAGAAACACAGGAGGCAGAGATGGATTTCTCTGTGTAAGAAAAGGCATTGGTTCCTTGTTCCTTGGCCACCTACATACCCCTGTCTGGACAGTCACCTATGGACACTGCCATCAGCATGTGGTTTCTCTTCCCTGCTCCATTCTTGCAGTAGATTCTGTTACCAAACCAGGAAAAAATTAAATAAAAATGAAAGGATATTGTGAATGGTTCTTTTAAAAAATGTAAAACCTTCACAGTGGTTTGGCAAAGCAAGTGTCTCTCTTTCTCACTCTCTCCCCCCCTCTGTCCTTGACAATGAAACGCAATGGATGACAGGCTGGGTATTTGCAGAAGGAACTCGGTGGGGATCTAGAAATTATTCTGAATAGAGTATGGAATATAAATTTCCACCTCTATCCTAGCAGATGTCCATAAGGATATGCTGAAAGCACAATATGGAAAATAAATGCTATTATTTAATTTTTTTTAAATGAAGAATACAGTGTATGTAACATTCCATTCCTATAAAAAAATACAGTTTCTTGATTTACCAAGCTAATATATAAGTGGATCCTCTTTTGTAGAGGATAAAGGAAAATTGTTCAAGGCCTGTTCTCTGACAGAAAATAAACCCATTGAGGAGGAAAACAGATGCAAACTCTGTTAGTGATGTTACATATCTTACCTATTGATTTTTAACCTCACCTTCCACAAGAATTTTGAAAATAAGTTATCCATTTTATTACAAAAATGCATGATTAATACCAATAACATTTTGGTCACTTCTTGTAAGGGACAGATGGCAAGAGTTCAAAACACAACAGGCTCCTTAGGTTGCTCATCATTTTTTCCAAAAGAGGTTCTGCAAGAAGCCTATCAAATATTTATGTTGCCATTTTGGGAAATTCAGGGCAGGCATCTAGGCAGAATCTCTGTATGACTCCATTTGGGCCTATGCATTTCTCTGTGCGGGTGGGTGGGTGGATGGTTTGCGAACTTCCATATCTTCCTAGTTTACTATACTTTTTGAAAACCACCAGCCCCAGGAATTTTAAGGGAATATTTAGCATCTCACAGAAATGTTAATTATTAAAGATGCTCCTGTATTGTGCAACATTCTTTTATCTTTTTCTTTCCTTCCTCAAAATCCAGATTTTGAGAGCTTAGAACTGCTGTTCTTTCTTCCTCTCTTGGCACAAACATTAATTGTGACTTTGTCCAACCTCCAACTACCCACCTCCCATCTGGGCTCCTTCGTCCCTCACAACTCAAAGTGTTTGCCTCCCAATTGTAACACTCCTATAAAATGTCCACCACCACCTCCACCACCACCCCTCCCATCCTGGGCCTTTTTGTCAGAGGCTGCAGAAGCTGGGCACAGAATCAAGATGAAAATACATTCTTGAAGTAATTGGGGAAGGGAAGATATAGAGGTTGCAGGGGTGGGGATGTGACCGCTCTTCAGGGGTGGGGGTAGCAGAAAAAGGAATCTCCTCTCTTTGGCTGCTTCAACTTAATCTCCCCTCACAATGGTTGCTATGAAAGCTGCTATGGGAGGATGGTTGCTAAGGAGGCACTGTGGTCGTCAGGCAGTTGCTAGGATATAGGTACCAGGAGCTGGTAAGGAAGATGCTAAGGTTGCTATTAGCAGTGACCATTGGTGTGCAGCTAAAAGACTTCTTTGAGAAATATAACTGATGCAGCAATCAGCTGGCGGACTGAAATACACAGCCCCAGGGGAAAGATGGCTGCGCTGCAGGCAGGGGTTGGTCGATGGAAAGAGTAGAGCTGATGGCTGAGCCTATACTGCAGTTAGGGGAGGAGGGGCACTGGTCTAAAGCAGGCCTAGCTGGTAGCTTACCTCTTACAGCACTAAAAAAAATCATCATTAAATCCAGCACCCCCCACCCTGGAAATGAGATGTGATTCCTTGCTGATGAGATCCATCGCTCGGGGTGGCCATATGCCCATTTGGGGGTGGTTGATACGGGGGATCCTTGGCCACGGTTGGGATGCAGCAACCATCGCAGGCGTGCATGTGTGTGGTGGGGGGTGGCTGTTTATGCAGCGAAGCCTCGGCTTGTGCTGATACGAGGAAGGAGAGAAAGACGTCAAAGGGAGGGATGGCAGATGAGAGCGGCGGGGGGGAGGGGGGAGCTCTAATCTTTTCCGGATGCCTCTGGTAGCCTATGTGCATGGAAAGAAATTACTGTAGACAATTGGCAACGGAGGAGTTCAGCCAGGAGGAGATAGAAAAAGAATCACACAGGAAAGAGAGTGATAAAGGAATTTGGGGGAGAGACAGAGAAGGCAAGAATATTAGAAGATGGAATGACTGGGAAATGGACAAATGAACAGGTAGAGATTAAAAAAAAGGGTAGGGAGAAGGTGGGGGGAGAACACATCTGTATGGGGAAGGTATAATCTGTATTGCAATAAATGGAGGAAAGAGACCAGCAGAGAAGGTGACTAGCGAGGACGGAGGAAAAACAGACAGGGGAAACTACAGCAATGGAGGCAGATAAGAGGAGATGTAATTGATAAGGCAAAATGAGAACCAGTTTAGAAGAAGAGGGTATAGCAATAGAGGGAGAGAACATTGTGATGGTGTGGGGGACAGAAGTGGTGAAAATGACTGACTGAAGCCTCAAAAACTAAGCATCTGTTTAAAGGACAGATCCATGCAGCGGCTGAACAAAATATTGAATGACCAGAAAGAAATAGAAAGCAAGGGTTGAAAGGGCACCCTATGAATAGAGTTGGCCCAGGCAATTCAGAATGGCTAGGGAGACCAGCAGATTTGCATAAGACGCTCTAACTTTACCTGAAGATGCCCAGTATCATGGCTGATTGGGGTCTCCGTGGCCTTCTCTCCCCCCTCCTCCCTGACCCCTCTACTTGGCACTCTCGGCCAGAGCCGGCCATAGCTGTGCTGAGTTCTCTAGCCTTGTTGTTCATCTGGTATTGCTATCGTGTGGGGACAGGGCAGGTAGCCCCTGTGTCTCATCAGCATGGTGTGCCAACAGAAGAAGGATGCCCTCGGCGTACCCTCAGGGGTGATGCTATCAATCAGCGCCTGTATCGCAGCCTGCGAGATTACGCCAAGCGCTATTCGTGGTCAGGTATGAACCGGCTGCACAAGGGTATCCGGGACCAGGCCCATTATCAGCTGGGCGAACGGCTAGCAATTCAGAAGCCCAGCGCTTTCTACCTCCCTGACTTGCCTTCGGCCCCATATTTCCCCCGTGAGTCTCAGCGTCATGATGTGGAGATTCTTGAACTCAGCTTCCCAGCCATCCTGCAGGAATTTGAGGGTATTGCATGGGACTTTGAACCCGGAGCCCCAATGCCACGGGGATGGATGGTCAACGCCAACCCTGGCTGGCACAGTTATTACCTCTACCGACAGGGGGAATGCATAGCACAGAATTGTCGCAGCTGCCCATGGACATACCGGGCACTCAGCGCACTACGCACCTTTATCAACGCCAATTGCTTTGGAAACGCCTGCTTTAATGTCTTGCAGCCTGGAACTGTACTACCTGGCACCTATGGGCCAACGAACACCAGGGTACGGTGCCACCTAGGTGAGCAAATGCTGGAGGAGCAATGAATGGGGCAGATCACAGCATCCACTTGGTGGGGAAGGGGCACCAGTATCTGAAAACCTGTATTGCCGGCATCTTCTTTCGATATAATACATGCTGCCCAGTTATTGAACTCTTCTGTTTCCTAAATAGGAGCTGTTTATAAGCTTTGTTTATTATTATTGTTGTTGTTATTAGATTTTTTATTAACTATGCTGTTTATAATTAGTAGCAGACAGACACATTTGGGATAACTGTTCTGAACTACAGCACTGCTTCAGATGAATTTGCTCAGCAAACTATAAACAAATCTTATTTTTTAATAGAAGTGTTTAGAAAATCTGCAGGTGACAAGTCGCATTTCAGAAGAGGCATTCTTTGTAGGATGCCTCTTCAGTGAAGATGCTATAAGAAATATGCATCATTGGCAAAGAAAACTTTGATTCACAGTGTAAGTATGATAGGTGGGTGGGTGGGTATGTAGCACAAAGAGTATCAGTAAACTCTTTTTACCTTTTTCAATAGCTCACAATAAAATCTCAAGCATTTGACCTCAGGTGAAGACATGAGGATATCTACAAAGAGTTTTTCAGAAAACATTTTTTTAATGTTGTGCAGACCTTCCTTTCCTGGTCTCCAATTATCTTCTGTAATTTCTATATTTCTGCCATGACTGTCATTTGCAGGATAAATTAAGACAGACGGCCTACTTTCTGCTGAACAAAAAAGGGGGTCCCCAGGTTGTGGTCCACAATTCTGGATGGGGTGATAAAAACTCTGTATCCAAGTGCATTCTTGGTTTTGCAAATTACAGCTTCTCTTTCTCCCAGCGTGGGAAGTTGTTTCCATAATTAGTGCTTTAAATCAGCATGTTTCTCATCTCTCTCTTGTATGGGGGGTGGGATACAAAGCATCATTCAAAGCACCTCCCTCTCACAGCTTCTTCTTCATTCCACTTTTAGGGCTAAAAGTGCCACCTGGTTGTGAGTTGGTGGTGGGTGGCGAGCCACAGTGCTGGTCTGAAGGATACTGCCTTCTGGTGGATGATTCCTTCTTGCATACCACAGCCCATAATGGTAAGAGTGCACCGAAAGCAGGCCTTGCGGACTAAGGCGCGAGGGCTGAAGTGAGTTGACTTCAAAAATCCTTCTTCCCGAAAAGCGATTGGGAGTCTAGGACTTCCTTGAAACCTGTTCCCCATTGTATAAAATTGTATAAGGGTGCTCATCAGGAATGTTACACTAGGGTTGGCTGTTTATCTCCTATCCCACTCACCCAAATGTTCTGTTCAGAGACATGGCCTCTTTATTGCGCAAAGAGGAAAGGGTTCTGAGCATGATGCTATCCTATTAAACTCATGACCATCTGGTCACCTCTAGACAATTTTCTTTCCTGCCACCCTCTTTGTGCAGGATTTTGTGAAGCTTTCGCAAGAGAATGTGTTTTGCACCATTTGAGGACTCTACCTAACAGAGGGTTGGGCAATTTTTATTTTTTGGTGAAAGTTTCTCTTTCTTGCAGGTATTCATTGTTATTCAGCTATTCAGGGCTGCATCATGGAACAATGAATTGAGTGAAAGGTGGGGCCCAAAGCTCAAAATAGGTAGCGCCAAACTCCTCCCACCCATTTCCTGGTATTCCATTCTCTCAGTGATTGCTTGACAACACATTAGCCCAGGGTTAACTGAACCAGATTTTGCTGAATTATCTGGGCACACACAGTGGATTTAACTATAAACTAAACCATTGGGTATGGCATAAAATGAGTTTTCTGGATTTGCCCAATATGCTGGTCTAAAATATGGTTGACTAGACCACAGTAGACTATGTCACACTAAACCACAAACTAGCCAACCCATTTATATCTCATGTGTTTGCAACACCCGACTCCTCTTTCTGACATAATTATTTTTTCTTTCTTTTCACCTGGCAAGCTGTGTGTTTCTTTTCACCTGGCAAGCTGTGTGTTTGTTTTGGTCAAGAGATTTGATCTGATTATTGCAAAAGGTTGAAACTAAACTGAGGGCTGTACATAGCATTGGGACCATAGGCTACCCACTTGTGAGATGATAATTTCAACCATCTGTGTTACAGGTTCCCCCAGTGATGGACCCCAGGTGATTTTTATTGCTGATCTCTGGCACCCCAACGTAGCAGGACCTGAGCGACAGGCATTAGATTATATCTTTGCCCCTGGTCGATAAGATGCCTGACCTAACAGGTATGGGGGGAACAAACACAATCTCACAAACGTTTGCTGCTTCCCCAAACATTAACCACTTCCTACATTATTGTCTTGGTCTGGATACAGTATTCTTATTTTCATTATTTTGCAGACTGAGTTAGATGCTGGGGTGTAGTGCAAAAGCTACACAGAGATCTGTGATGGATGAAGCCATGGAAATGTCTTTTCTTCAAGGTGACTCTGTGCCCTCTTATAAGACTCATCCTACAGATTTTGTGACCCAGGACATCTTGGTTTCCTTTCTTGCACTGTATGGTTCCTTGTGGTTTTTTCTCTTATGGCACTACTTGTTCAGGGTTGTGCAGGTGGGAATGTTGGTGACTACACTATAGTACTAGATGCCCTCAAATTCAGTGAAGTATATGAAACCCACATTCTGTATTAGTAGCATAGATTTCTCCAGGGTTGCTTTGGGAAGGAAAGGAGGGTAAGAAATTAACCAAAGTAAAATACTATTTTCACCTGTCTATGATAATTTGTTGTTCTTATACTACATCTGTATCTCAACATTTGTGTCAAGGGATTTAATTTTGAAAAATCCTAGCCAGTTGTATTCCAATAAAATCCTTAGAGACTCATATTTCTTTGTCCAGATACCTCTTTCTTGCAGGAGAAACAAATCAAAACTTACTAATGTGATGTGCTTTACAAGATAAAAGACACTAGCCATGATTATACTCTTGAACATCAGCCCAGTTTTTTTTTTTAAGTGCATTAAACTATGATGTCAGGAAGTATAACCAAACACAGTCTAGGGCAGAGTTTCTCAACCTTGGCAACTTTTAAGATGTGTGGACTTCAACTCCCAGAATTCCCCAGCCAGCATGCCATGGATATGAGAAATGTGTGAGTTGAAGTCCACACATCTTAAAGTTGCCAAGGTTGAGAAACTGGTCTACAGAAAATCACATTGGATGAAGGAGATCGAAAACTACAGGGAGATCTCCAAAAAGGTTATTGAAATCACTGATGAAATGGTACTAGTATATGAGAAGAGCATGACTAATGCACGCTTGTCCAGAATATCACTACCCAAAGGCAAACAAGCTCTTTTTCATCCATGTTTCTTGTACACTTTTTAAAAATATTTTAATTAGAATTTTACAGTACAATAAAAGTATAAAAATGAAAAGAAAAATAAGTTTAGAAAAAAGATAGGAAATAAGAAATGAAAAAGAAAGAACACACAGAATTTTGCCATCTTACTCCCATCTTATTCTTTCCCCTCCCTCTTTAACCCTTTCTAATCCCCCAACCCATAACACATCAGTTCAGTCTTTTCTTCTTTCAGCAAAAAGTCCATACAAGGCTTCTAGTCTTTTAAAAAAAGTCTTTTTTCATTTTTTCCCTGACCAGTTTCCTGTACACTTTTTGTTTTACTGGCTTCCCCACAGAGGAAACCTTGACACACACTGTGTGATTCACTGTTGTGCACCTCTTACACTTGTTCTTAGATTTCCAAACCAGCTCTGATAGTTTTTTTTTTAACTTTGGCAGAGGAATCTTATTATCCTTTAGAGAATAATTAAAAAATATACTAGGATAGTCTGCTAAAAGCACAAAGTGCACACACACACACAAAAAGCATCCCAAATTTTTGAAGTTGAATCTGCTAAGTTTATTTGCCAGATTTGTTTTTATTTGTCCAAGTCTGATTATGCCCAGCAGGAATGCTAAATACAGTTTTCTGTTTTTCTGCACATCACGTTCCCAAGAGCAGAAGAAAAGACTCACTGTGTCCTCTCCTTTACCTAGTACAGGAGACGAGAGCAACAATTTCCATCTATGCATGTAAATGTAAACATACAGTCTTGGATTTTTGGATAGAGTGCATAACATTTTGATCAAATGTGGATCAAACATTTAAGATTTCTGATATCAAGGCCTGCCAACTCTAGGTAGGGTAGTTACACTTTTCATTCACACAAGGTGAGGAACAATGCCCTGCTCTTTTTGCCACTTGCACGTTTGGGGTTGGCAAGAGATCATTCCAGTGGTTGCACTGCCCTTTCAAAGCACAGGATGTTTGTGACAAGGAACCCCATCCCTTCATCAACTCCACAATCACAAAAAGGTTGGGGGTTAGCAGACAAAATAGGATGCTTGGCATGGCATATATGGCAAGTGAAATTGTAGGTCCTCAACAACTGCTCCTCTCCTCCTAATTTGCAACTCTTTCCGTTAGTTTAATAATAGTTCACAGAAATCAAATTAAAAGCAAACTCAGAGAGTTCTGTTACACCCAGAAACTTGAAAGCAAGTACCTTCTGCAGCCCATGCAGGACCAGAGTCAAAGCCCAAGGTACTGACAGACCCGGTGAGTTCGTGCAGGAGTTCCTTCCCTTTGTATTTGAGCCCAAGGTCCCACGGGTCCACTCCACCCTCTTCTCTGGGATTATCTTCTTCATTATCATTAGTATTTGCGCTGACGAAGGAAGAGACCAGATGGTCGTTTTGGAGTGGGTACATCATCTGAATCGAGGTCAAACAGGTCACAGCCAGTCTTCATAATCTGCTCCTCCAGCACTTTATGGCGCTTCATGTCTGACAGTACCTTGTCCAGACGGGCTTCCCTTTTCTGACTCTTAGCTAATGTCCCTGGAAATTAACCACAAGTCAGGACTGGAAGACTAAGTTCATATGTTTCACTAGCTTTAGGCACAGAAGGTGTAACTATAGTGCAATTCTTGATGTTCCTACATAAAATAGCAGAATAATTACTTAAAAATCACGAAAAAACAGGTGGGAAAAAGTGTCTACCCACAGCATTTATTTGTTAGGTCAAGAAATTGACACCTTTGCTACCTATTAATAAATAATCTCAATAACATCTTATACATATATAAATTTGATTAAATAAATAAATACTTTGTGCTACTTCTCAGCAATGGGGTACTTCAAGAAGAGGAAGCTACAACATAAGAGGTGATTTAAACAATTTTTCCATCTAGGATCTTCTTTCTAAAAATCTACTATTTGCAATAAACCCTAATGGGAAATATGGATGAAGGACATGACAGACTCTGAAAATGTAACCGTTATATATACAGAGAGTTGATTTTCCTAATCAACAAACAAAATGACGTTTGTGGACTTCTTCCTTTGATTTCTGCAAAATTCTAATTCGGGATCCACCTTAGCAAATATTCTTTTACAGTTTTTCCTAGGTTGGCTTTAAAAATAACTTAGTCTAATAGGCAACAAGGAACTAGTCAAACAGACCAAAGGAAAGAAGAGAAAATGCATGCTGCAGAGGAGCATTATGTGCTGGGGTTTCCATGAAAAATAAGGTGTTGCAGAGTTGGGAAAGGGCAACTAAAAAGATCAGGTAGGGTGGAACTCTCCTGTAGGGCAGGGTTCCTCAACCTCAGCATGGATGGCTGGGGAATTCTGGGAGCTGAAGTCCACCCATCTTAAAGTTGCTGAGGTTGAGGAACCCTGCTGTAGGGAACAGTTACAATTTTTTGTGTGTGCGCCTTCAAGTCAGTGTTGATTCCTGGCGACTGCTTGGACAAGTCCCTGCAGTTTTCTTGGCAATGTTTTTTGAAAGTGGTTTGCCAAGGCCTCCTTCCTAGGGGTGAGAGAGAGGAACTGGCCCAAGGCCACCCAGCTAAGGCAGGATTAGAACTCACAGTCTCCCAGTTTCTAGCCTGGTGCCTTAACCACTACATCGAACTGGCTCTCTGTGGTGTTTTCAGCTTCAACAAAAAATGATTAAATGGGTATGATAGATATATAAAAGTTGTTCAAGGTAGGAAGAGTTTTTCCCCTTCTCTCTTGCATAAGCTAGAAGCTGGAGTCATCTAATGAAGCCAAATGGTGGGAGATTCAGAACAGCCAAGAGGACGTACTTCTTCAATCAGCACACTGTTAAACTGTGGAACTTACTATCACGAGGAGTGATGACTATCAATTTTGCTTTATAAGGGGATGAGACCAAGTCATGGAGAATGATTATATGACCAATAGCTGCTAGTCATGATGACTGAGCAATATACGTGTATCTGAATATCATTTGCTTAGGAAAATAAGAGGGAAGGTCCTATTGCACTCACACCCAGTTTGTGGGCTTCCCATAAGCGACTGGTAGATCAGCCTGGGTGCAGAATGCTCAATTACATAACTCATTGGCCTGGCAATGCTCTTCTGCCTTCTTATGGAAGCTCAGATTGCCTTCTTTACATACCAGGAGTTCTCCGTCGATCAATCAAAGAGCTTTTGGGTGAAGCAGGCTCATCATCGAAGTCAAACTCAGTAGGCACATGAGGCCTGGAGCAAACAGAGAAAATAAGAATCAAACTGTCAGTAACACAGCCTAATGATCCTCTCCTTAACATAACCTCAGATATTAGATCTCTCCCTCCCCCTCCTTCAACCCAAATATAAAACCCCATTTCTCACTTCTCCTCCTCCTCTTCTTCCTGATGTTCAGATTGTCCTTCAGACTTATCCTCATCTTCACTGTCAGGCTCTGGAGTCGGGTTGCGCCGAGGGAGGATTTCAGCCTGAATTTCCAGAGTCCCTTGTGTGGCAATGAGCTCATATAAACGGCGGATCTCCTTGGGTGCAGGCATCCAGTCATCTGGGGAATCCAGCTCCTCATCACTGCAGGGGACACACCAATCCTCTTCGGCAGATTCATCACCCTTCCCTGATAATTCTCCCTCTGTTTCTCTGGGAGTGTCATCTTGTTCCTCAGTGGCAGAAGCTAAATCTGGAGCAGGCCCATCTTCCACTGCCAAGGACTGCATTCCTGAGGTCACTTCCCCTTCTTCCACAGTGCTGGCTTCCTCCATGGCTGTAATAAAGAGAATAAGAGACCACAGGATAAGAACAGGTATGACAAACCCTGCAGTATCAAGATCCTAAGATGACTAGCTAAAAATTACCAGGTATAATACTGTAGCTATTCTGGAGGATATCCCAAAATGAAGAAAAGCATGAAATAATGTTGGACTATTGAAAGCTGGGTTCAAAATATCCTGTTGAGACACAAATCAAGCTGGGATCACTCCCTATTATTCAACCAATTTATTTCACAAGATTGCTAGGAGAAAAAATTGGGCACCAGGGCACACAAGTTCCCCAAAGAAAAGATACAATACAAATGTCATAACTGATTATTTAAAACCATATTAAAATACCTAGAAGCAAAGCCTAAAGAAGCCTTTTCCAACCTAGTGGCATTCAACTTATCCTTTCTCAATTATTTGGAGGGTACTAGTGTTGACCTGATTGTAATTTGAACTCTGTGATTGCTATGATTGTCAACATACCTACCATTAAATAAACATCTTCTGTTTAGATGATATTATGGGCGCAATAGTTCTGGTTCAAAATAGCAGAATTTTTATCACCTACCAATCCCTCATAGATTTATGCCACTAATAGATCAACTATCAAAATAGCAAAAGAAAAGGGATTCTGGGGTAGAATCCCAGAACTGAAGACAACTCTGCAAAAGCGGAGCTAATGACCATGGCAAAGACCAAGGAACTGGTGAGTAGATCGGTTCCTTGGAACCTCTCTGGATAAGGAGAGGATAGGAGATCATCCATGTGTGCTCCTGACAGCTGCTCCTCATGAAGAGACTGCAGGACAGCAGTCTCCTGTGGGTTTGAGTGCCAGGAGATGAAGGGATTAGCCATCTTGCTTGCAATCACTTTTAAAGGACACTAAGTTTGCAAACCTCACTTTCTAATCACTTTTGGAAATTGCCTACTAACTATTCTAAAGCTATTAGAGACCTTTAGAATGATAGATTTGAAAAGTCTTCATCGTATGAATTTATCTTCAACTCTGAACAAAAGAAAAATTAATCACAAGCTTAAGAACTTAAAAATTTGAAATAAACAGCAAAAAGCTAAATAACATTTTGATCTAAAAAAGTTATAAATGCATTAAGAGTCCAGATAAATTTGGAATATTGACTTTTAGTATAAGATGTTGGAATTAGCTATAAAAAATAAACAACTTCTCGTGGGAAACAGATTTATTTTGATTACCCTGGCATGTGCAAGTCATAATAAAAGATAAGTGATGATTTTAGAAACTGGACATTAGAGGGAACTAAAGATTTTAAGCAGAAGAAAAAAAAAATACAAGCCTGATGTCAATTAATAATGGGACTTACAAAATGATAGAAAACATTATAACATCAGAAATTTTAAAGGAGAATGGAATTGAATTGAAGAATGAAGTCAGAAGTTAGTAACTACAATATCAACACTGTCAGTAATAATGTCTGCTTCTATGGATAGATTATGTCTGAAAGATATTAATGAAGGAATGATAATTGTGGAACAAATTTTATCTGATAAGATAGAGAAAGTACAGAATGTGGAACTACAAATGACAGGCCAAGAGAATGATTTAAAAAAGGACGCTTTACTGGATATACAAAAGGAATTGGCTGAAGTTTTAAAAAATTGAAAGGGAAATACAAATGAAAACCAAGAGAATGACATGGAAAATGAGACAGGAAGAAGTCTCAGCTGAAGCCCAGACAGAAATAACAAGGCCCATCTAATAGCATGATATATCCATTTTGTAGCTTTACTCAGAAAAAGTAATCTTGTCATTAGGAGCAAAATCTACAAAAATGAAAGTATTGGTGAAATCACCCTTATGCCAGCTTTTGGTTTCTAGTAATTTTCAGAAGGTTCTCTTGCTATTCAGCATTGGTCCTCTGACTTTTGATCATTTCACTCAGCATCCCTAAACAACTTCTCTGTAGCTCAGTTTTTTGGCTATCAAGCCTGGGATTCAAAACAAATCTTGCTATACCATCAAGAATTACTAAGTTACTAAGAATAATAATGGTTTCATAGTCTCCAAACACTCCTCCAAGAACGTCTCTCCAAAATTTGGTGGCATGCCACCATCAACCAGTATAACAAAACATCAACATTTGACAAGCCACCAAAATGAACAGCATGCTTTCCTTACAAAAGGAGACATACATTTATCAAAACGCGCCTGGCCACTCAACCTACTACAACACAACCTATGAAAAGGATCACACCGCCATATATCAGAAACGTCTCAGAAACTACCAACAGACTATTACAACCACATGGCATCTCTGTAGCACACAAAC